CAACGGGAGAGGCCACAACAGTGAGAGGCCCGCGTACCGCAAAAAAAAAAAAACAACAAAAAAAGAATCTACCACCACATTCAGGATCCTGAGCAGTTTGATCTTTGCCCACTGCCCTTTTATAACCATACCAGCTTTCCTATTACTCCCCTACCCCAGCCTGTAATCCCAACCACTAATCTGTTCTCCATTTCTAAAATTTTGTCACATAAAAAACATTATGTACATGGAATCATATAGTATATAATCTTTCAGGATTTTTTTTTCAGCATAATTTCCTGGAAATTCATGTTACTGTGTCTATTAATAGTTCAAACTCATTTCTTAAATTTGTTTTTGGCTGTGTTGGGTCTTCATTGCTGCGTGCAGGCCTTCTCTAGACGTGGCAAGCGCAGGCTACTCTGTCGTGGTGCGTGGGCTTCTCATTACGGTGGCTTCTGTTGTTGCGGAGCACAGGCTCTAGGCACGTGGGCTTCAGTAGTTGTGGCACAAGGGCTCAGTAGCTGTAGCTCATGGGCTCTAGAGCGCAGGCTCAGTAGTTGTGGTGCACGGGCTTAGTTTCTCTGCGGCATGTGGGATCTTCCCGGACCAGGGCTCAAACCCATGTTCCCTGCATTTATTTTTTTATTTTTAAATGGTGTGCTTTTTCAAATGCCAGTAGAAGGCTGATATTTTTTATTGAGTGCAGTGACTTTATGAGGTAGGCGCTGTTGTCCCTGGCTTACAGCTGAGACTATTACTTTTTTTTTTAGATGTTGGGGGTAGCAGTTTATTTATTTATTTTTGCTGTGTTGGGTCTACGTTTCTGTGCGAGGGCTTTCTCTAGTTGTGGCAAGCAGGGGCCACTCTTCATCGCGGTGCGCGGGCCTCTATTGTGGCCTCTCTTGTTGCGGAGCAGCAGGCTCCAGACGCACAGGCTCAGTAGTTGTGGCTCACGGGCCTAGCTGCTCCGTGGCATGTGGGATCCTCCCAGACCAGGTCTCGAACCCGTGTCCCCTGCATTAGCAGGCAGATTCTCAACCACTGCGCCACCAGGGAAGCCCCGGAAATTTATTTTTACTTATTT